TAGTCGTTTTTTTTTAAATTCATGACCAGATTTATTTCTCTGCATGTAGAGAGTGTTCCTGTGACATGGGAGTTATTAAGGGTGACAGCATGGTGGTGGGGCACCAGCTTTCTGCCCTTTTGGCATGAGTGCCTCCTCATGCTGCTGTTGTCCTCTGAAAAACGCCATCCCTGTCCTTTGATTTCTCTTACGGTCGGGGGCCTTACCCGTTACAGGCAGCTCGTAGACGAGGAGGGAGGTGAAATCGGGCTGCGCCCCCCATGGGTGGTGCGCATCTCCCCGTTAAACAAAAATCTCAGCTTTCGAGAAATGTGTCTTGCCCACATAGTGCTATTGCAGCAGGCTGTAAAAATGGTTTCCTTTGCTGTGCGCGACTCCACGTGTTACGTAGAGAGCTCTGTGTCACAGTCTGCATCACGTTCCCCCCCGCTTCTCTCACTCTGAATCTGGTCGCGGCAGACAAGCGAACGCAAAGAGGGATTTTTACAAATTGAGCTTTTTCATTGCCGTGGCTGCTCGGCTTGGAGCACCTGCCCTGTGTGTCAGGGACCGCCGTGTGCCAACAGATTGAATGGTGGGGAAAATGCCCTCATGGCCAGGCAGCTCGATCACGGGCCCAGGAGGGACGGTGTGCCGTGTCGAAATGCTGTTTTTGTAACAAAGCAAAAAAAAGGGGGATTTGGGCAGGAAACATGATTCTTTTTGCACGTATGACCTAATACTGGTCTGGCCAAAGGGATTAAAATCCTTTTATCCTCCAGAACGTGCTCCCCTCTGCTTCAGCTGCACCGTACAGTACGTGTTCTCAGCACAACAGATTGTATGAGTAATCTGTAGCTTGCTTTCTCTAAAGAAAGAGAAAATACATATTTTATCCTTGGTTGTTTTTTTGTTTTATTTGTGAGTGCCAAAGGCTACACAGGCCCCATGATTTTTTTTTTCATTTCTTTATGGTTCTAACAGGTACAGTAAGTGTGCTTTCAGGGTTGGTGGCATTGAGTTTTTTCAGTTCCCTGCCGGGGGGAGGGGGCACCCAGGGCCCACATCTTGCTTCCTTCCCTTGTCTTGTTTCTTGGTTGCAGGAGTGCAGAGACAGATTTCAGAGGAGGGGGCTGTTGCCATCCCTGGCATTCCTCTTGGCGTCGCCACAGCTGTCAGATCCCACGGGCTCTCGGCTGCCCTTACAAAGGCGCCGAGGTTTTCCAAGTGAAGCAGGCTGCACCAGAGGGGGCGCTCTAAGCAACAATTTAGGAAGAAGGGTTGAAGTACAGTACACCCCCTTCTAAAAACTCGCACAAACGCAGAGTTAATCATAAGAGCTCACCATTAAAGCTGACCAGATGTAAAGGAGCATGGTGGTCTTCTTTAATGCTCTTCGAAGCTTTGACCCCACTTGGCTTGCTGGCATGTTTCTCTGCTACTCTCAACCGTTAAACTGTGATTGGATCCGCTTTTCCAGGGTTTTGCTGTACTTCACTGACCCTTCACTGTACCACGACACACACTCTCGCTAAAGGCAGCCTTGTGAGGGTCAGAGGGCATTGGAGTCGCCAGTTCTGAGGGGTTGCAAGCAAGGAGACGCAAACTGGCCTCTCGATCCAGCAGAGAGGTCCCAGGTACGCTGGCACGTGCTTTGGACAAGATATGTTCTCCACCATGTTGTTTCATCCCGAAGGCCTGTCATAACTGCTGTGAAACCTGACTCCCGCTGGAGGCGGGCAGAGGTATTGGTAAATGTTTGGGCTGTTGGAGGCCGGGGGAATTTGCACAGGAGGCACGCAGTGGGCGAGGAGCTCTAGCACAAGACTCAGGCTGCCGATTATAGTGTTGAGAGTATTGAATTGTGCAGCAGAATAATCACCCGTCTCTCCTCCCCCAGGATGGAAAACAAACAGGAAAAAGATGGAAATGGGAATACGTGTGTGTGTGTGTTGGGGAGTCTTGGTGGGGGTGGAGGGGAATCAAAGCAGTTAAAGCTGATTTATCCAAGTTAGGAGGCAGAGACCCTCGGAGGAGCCATGAACAGCCCTTCCAAGACAAATATCAATGGCCTTTATATTCAGCCAAGGCCAGTAATCAGCACCTCATAAGAAATAAAATCAACCTCTTTCATATTTCAGGCTGCAGGGGTCCCTGAGATGTGTTACTGCTGCTCTGCGCATCTTGCTCTCCCCCCTCTCCCCCAGCCCCTGAACGAAGCACATAATAAAACCGCGTCCAGTGGGATGAGATGTTGCCGGGAGTTTTACTGTTGCCCTGACTCGGGGTTAGGAAACGGAAGTGTGGGGCGGCTCTAATGAGAATCTGTGAACAGCAGTCGGGAGACGAGCCCCCCCCCCACCCCTCTTTCTGTGGTGGTTGGGGGTTTAAAGTTATTGCTATTGTAACGCTCCGGGGTTCACGCGGGTATGCGCCCTCGCCGCTGCCGCATCAGGTCGGCCCCCCACCATCGGGGACTCGAACCCAGGCCTCCAGGTTCTCTCAAAAGGGACCCAGCCTCTTGAGCCAAAGGGAAATCTCCCGTCAGCCCGGCGGCTGCGGTCCCTGCTATCCACAGGGAAGGGTGGTGACGTCACCCCGCTGGTAAGCCAGCTCTCGCGAGCAATGGAGGCCATACTGTATGTGTTACACTATTAAATTAGCAAGCGAGTAGCAAAATCACCGTTTGGTAAATGCTGATGTTGTTTTTAGTAGACACCCGTTATCACCGGAGGCTCAAACAGGGACGGTGAACAAAGCGGCAGATTTACTACCCCACCCGATCCGACGCCACCCGGCACAGGTGCTCCACCTTTATCCCTGTCCGGCTCCACACTGGCCGACTCTCGCACCCGAACGGCACAACCCACACCGGCTCTGGCCTGCTTCCTGGCAGGGGAATTCCAACAGTGTGGTACACTGCACCAGAGGGCAGAGGGCATCTGGTACTGGACCTTGGCAGGCATCCCTCACACGGCAAGACCTTGGCATAAACATCTCGCGTCTTTCTCGTGGTCATTTTTCAGTGACTGTAATTAATAGAATTAAGAAAGGGATTGGGAGGGTTCCTGCAGTTAGGCACTGTAATTGTATGCAGAGGAGGTAGAGGAGAGTGCCTGCTCCTGTTCTGTTTTAAAAGTTAGTGGTCATCTCCTTTTCAATATTATGAGAGTGATGTACAGTAGTGGGACATATTCATACTGTAAATGGTACATATATGTATAAATTCAGACAGACACATACCAAACATAAACTTGTACACACGGTATCCTGGCATATTAAAATACGAACCCACGACAGAAGTGGAATGATGTAATTATTCCCTGAGTTTTCCTCCGATGTCGGTTTAAAAAGGGTTTATAACTCCGGTCGGGAGGGATGACAACAGCCAAGTTCAGTCAGACTCGGCTGTCAGTCATTAGAAATCACTTTTTTTCCTCTCCTGAAACACTATAAATACGGCCTGTGATCCCCTTCTCTTCCTCCCATATCCCACCTCCACCCCATCTCCCCCTCTGCAGCACCCCTTGGTCACCCCTCACTCTGCAGGGGGGGGGGGTCTCAGCCTCCTCCTCCTCTGGCCAAATTTTCACTTAACACTCCGTAGTCCTTTCAGCGCACTTGATTCCTGGGTGTGGGTATTCCCAGTGAACTGTGGAAATAGAATATGCCCCAGGGCCACAAGGTCACGGTTTGAGCCTCTGATGTGTTTGTCCCTGCTCTGCTCTGTGCTTGCTGTTTCATCAGCCAGCTGCAGTGTATCGGGGCGCTACGCAGGAGTGACCTTCGGGGCTGCGAGATGTTTTTCATCGAGAGCGCTTCTGAAAAAGTCTTTCAGCTTCGAGAGTGCTTCTGAAAAAGTCTTTCAGCTTGTCTACAGCTGGTTTTGACGCTGTGCAGGGGGAGGCTGTCTGTGAAGAAGAGGTCCGTGGTCAGAGTCGGCGCACGATGCTAGTTTATGTCAACCTGCACCGGCCTTCACTGAGCACAGAGGCTACGCACAACTCTGCAGTGAGGGCAGCCTGGGGAGCCCTAAAGCCAGGCACTTCCAGGGCACTAAAAGCCTGCTGAATGTCATCATTAGTGTGGACACAGTGGCCGCAATAGCAAAATCAATGCGGCTTTATGGATCATCAATCTTGACCACACAAGACCTGCTCTGCTACAGTTCCAGGGGGACCCGTTTGCACAGTGGGTCGTGGCCAGACTCAGAACTGAAGTCTGTCTACCCCCTTTCCCTTATTTCCCTCTCAGGCATGCTGCCTCCTTGAAGCCACATGAAAGTGTCAGGTGGGCAGCGGAGAAAGAGAGCTGTGGCCCCGTATGGCTCGCTCGTGAGGTGTGCAGTCGTAGCTCCAGAAGGTCTGGACAAGTGCTGCAGTTATTTCTTTATTATCGACATCCTTCTTATTGCTATCATTACTACACCACGTGTTCTGTGGTCGGACGCTGTTGTGAGTCTTACAATGCCAGTGCCTTGCAGTACTGCAGGACTTACTTGCCTAGATGCGTTTGTTTCCTTCCAAGTGATCTAGAGGCCCAAGCTCGCAAGGGCCCTGCTAAGGGACGCCGGATTCCTTTCGTATTCTGCTAACGTGCAGTGCCACAGACAGCCCGAAACAAGAGAAGCAACAGGAAAGGAGAGAATTCAGCAACCTCTTCGAAACCTGGCACTGACCTGGCAGTGGTATTTATCAGCCCGCCTGCTCCTCCAGCTCCCTCCCCCAGCAATTTCCTGTCGCACCCCTGTCCAGGGGACACTCGTATATCTAACAGTACAAGAAGGTGCGTGTTGGCAGTGCGGGGGAGGGGGAGGGAGAGGGGGAGGCTCGTCCTGGTACGCGGGCTAATGACTTTTTAATTTACAGTGAGACGGTAATGCGTTTTTGGCAGAGCGCGGAGCGGGCAGTGGAGCCCACGCCCACACCTTAATTAAAATGAATTCTCGCGGCGCCCATCAGGGCAGGGGACCGCGGCCGGCGCGCGGGGGGCAGACGGAAGCATGGAGAAAAGAAGACAACTACCTCCACGGCTCTCGCTGTCGGCGGGCTTCACCTGGATGGGCCGGGTCATCTGGAAGAGGAGAGAGAGAGAGAGAGAGGGGGGGCTGTTAGTATGAACGCGCTGTAAACGCAGAGAGTGGCACAAATGATTTTGCGGCAGATCCACGCAGGGCTGTGCGGAACTGCAGACCCCGAGACCCCACTTCGCCAGTTTCCGCTATCGTTTCGGCTTCACGAAGCAAAAGTTTGTGACTTTGACACTCTGGCTTCTTTCAGGAAACACCTGGATGAGATCTTGGGATTAGTTAGCTGCTAGCTACAGTACCAAAGATGGCCTAGATGGCCAGATGGACTAATTTGTAAGCAGTCTTATGTTCTTATTGAATTAAGTATTCACCAAAGAGGCACAGCACGGCTTCACTATGCTATGGTGTTTTACACAAGAAGATCCTGCTTTTAATTTTTGCAAAAAAAATGTAAGAAACTAATCAGAGATTCATTACAGCACCTCAGGATGCATTATTCTGAAATACCTTGAGTAAACGACACAACGCTCACGGAAAACCTAATGCAGTATCTAGACAGGACAGGAAATGATGATGGCCAGGTGTTCTGCATTTATTTCTGCTCGGGTAGATATCATAGGAACCCCCTTTCCGGTTAGTGTGTGCGTTAAGGACATGGAATCGCAATGAATCATGGGCGTGGGTATTAATGAAATGCACCAGGAGTCGGAACTTTCTTGAGACGTCTCATTCCACCTTTTTTGCTTTCCTGTGCCCTGGAAGGTCTCATCTTCCGTAGCGCTGCCATTGGATGAGAGCTAATTAATATTCATGCCCATAATTCACTTAGAGCGAAAGACAAATAGATAGGTATTTTTGGACATATTTGACAGTCTTGAAAAATGAAAAGGAAATAAAATGATTAGAAAGCTCAAGACGGCTGCCAGAGAGCGGGGATCAATGCAGCTCCATTGATCCCTGGCCCTCGCGCTGGTTAAGAGCATGACCAGGAGAAATTCTGTGGTTGGGAGCCCTGCGCTAATCCAGTGGAAAGTGATAAGAATGGATTTTACTGGATTAGATGTTCCTGTCATCGTGGACTCTGGCCCGTGTGTGGTGTCTCTGCTGGTGCAGGTGGTGATTTTGCACTGCTCTTCATCTGTTGTGGTTCAGGTTGAATAGTTTCTGCGAGTGGTTCTGGGGGCTTTTTGACACAAAGCCCTTCTCAGGCCAGAGCAGAAAGGAATAGGGGGATACTGCAGGAAAGCATGTGTGAGATGACTTTTGTTTCTTAATCTGGGAGAAACTCTCAAATTCGTTTTCGTTTTTTTATCCAGCGTATCTCTCAGGCACACTTTGAGCGGCAGCTCAGCGTGGCTCACGCCATTCAGTACCGTTTTAATTCTTTTATTTGCCACAGAGTCCTGCAGGAAAACGAGATAAAGAGATACAGAATTTTCCTCCCCTTTCCCCCTTTTTTTTCCAGTAACCCTCCTGCGCCTCTATCCAAAGGGAATCCGAGGTCTCTCCGAGTGAATTGCTTTGATAATAACGCAGCGGGCAGATTTTTAATGAAAACCCCGAGATCGGCAGCGTTGTGATGAGATTATCAAAATATGCAAAACAATCTCATATCCTTCAAGGGCTCAGCCATCTGTAACCAGAAATTAAGAGCTATTTTTTTTTTCTCTCTGCTGCTCCGCCACATTGGTCCCTGACACGTTAGGGGTCAAATGTAGAAAAATGTTAGAAAGAATCCCAAGATCCCCCCTTTTTTCTGTCTCATTTTTCCCCCTCTTTCATATATATTTTCTTTTTACTGTCCAATTTCAGAGCAGAGCTAAAAAGGTCAGATTTAAAGACAGGGCAGCCCCATAAAACCATGACTTGTTCAAGGAGAAACACCATAATGGGATTTTAAAACGTCTTAATAACATGCTGATATATGGGGGAGAGGGCCAGGCCAGATTCATTAAGTGCTAAACGTATCCATTTTCACCTTGAGGAGCGGAATAACCTTCTTCTCTGGGAATTTTTCCATAAATTTGCCCCTCGTAAATAATAACTAGCTGGGGTCTTCTATAGGTAAGGGGTGCTGGCGTGTGTGAGTAGGTGCTTTTGTTAAAGAGGGTATTTTAGGTTAGAGCTGCACCACCACGTGAGGGAACCTGTCTGGGTACCTCTCCCTCCCAATATGAGAATTTGATTTTTTATTCCTTTATTTCACCCGAGACGTCAGTTGAGAACATGTTATCATTTGTGTTGACATCTTGGAGAGAACACCAGCTGAGCATCGTTTGAGAAGCACCTTTGAACAAGGTCCAACAGCAGAGTCCCAATTAACGCCCCATGCTGTCTTAACATTTTTATTTAATATCTCAAAACTAATTGTACAGATATTGTCTTTGATTACTCTGCAGGCTCGAGGTGGTGGACAGGTATATTTAAGTTGTTCTGTTTAGGGTGCAGCAAGGAGCTGGAATTATCTGTGTGGACTGTGCAGTTGTGTTTCAGTTTAGCGGATTTCAGTCAGGGGTGGAGCGTGCAAGCTGATTACAGTTGCTCAGACTCAAATCCAGCAAATAAATAATATTTTTTTAACTCCATCTCTCCAGAATGCAGTCTCCATAAACGACACATCCCTAACCCCAAAGGACAGCCACAGAAGCCCCCAGGGAACAGCCTGGCAGTGAGCTTCCCAACGTACAGCAGAATAACTGCAGTGGAGCTCCCTTAGAGGGTTAGAAAAGCAATCATGGATTTTACTGCGTCCTATAGGAGTCCCTTCAAACTTCACTGCAGCACCCTGATGTAACATCACATGCGAGATTTGAAAGCTCTGTTTTGGAAGGTTTATCTGTGTCAGGTGCGTCTTTGAAATCGGTTCCAGCTCTGGCAACAAAGGGATGATTTTGACAGCCCGTTGCTTCGCCCAGATTCGATGCCACTGTTCTGTACTCGCTGTACTGGGGGGCTCTCGGTTCAGATCTCTGTGTTTGCCAGTCGTTTTCTCCTTCTCTTTCTCCTACAGAGGGATGCATGGACGTGCACGCACATGCATGTAAACAAAGGCAGAGCTACCCGACATCATGCTGTTGTCAAGGCAACCATTATTTCCACATCTTCCTGAGAACAATTTGTTTTGTACTGCTTTTTTAATTTTGTCTGTCGTGAATTCTCAGAGCCTTTCCAACCCAGCAGATAAGGGCCTGTGGGAAAGTAATGAGTTAATTGGGAGCTCTGAGGGGCACGGGTTCTAATTGGGACACATTGTGTTGACAGAGTGGGAGGGAGAGAGCTGTCTGCGGGGCTGTGATAAGAGTGCTGTGCATTTGCCTGGTGTTTCTGTAGCACTGACTCCTTTCGCCCAGTTGCCATTAGCACACAAAAGCACATCTAGATATGGACATAAGCTAACAACCAGAAAAACATGTTTGAGGCCCAACTTCAAGCATGCAGATGCACTGACATGACAAGGAAATAGAGCCAGAAACAGGTGCATACAGAGAGAATGAAATATCAAGACACACAAATATACATAGATACAGTACATACAGACACACCCAGCTCATGGTGTTCTGTATTATTTCACCTCTGATCTCACAGGTTTGCTTGGAGAAATTAGAACACCTGCGTGTCTGAGCTGTTCAGTCCCTTTCAAATCTCTGCCTCATCTAAGCTGTCAGAATTCCAGCCTCATTCCCAGCAGCCTGCGGAGTAGGCTAGCCATTGTAAAAAATACCATTAGATTAAAACTCAGTGGTTGTTTTTTGTTTTTAGTATCATTTTTGTTTCATTGTACAGTATAAAACTTCAGAACCTCACGTGTTTCAAAGTGGATGCAAAGCAGTTAAGTACAGTGATACAGTAATATTGACATCCTCAACAACAGGTGATTGATATCAATTCAGATTTTTGCCAATTAGTGCGCTTACTAGATTGTGTTTAATGATTCTCCTGCTCCAGTTTGGCCCAGCCATTCTGGTGCTCATTCCCATAGCTTTTCTTAAGGTCGGTACAATTAACAGTGTGCCCTTTTCGTTTCATGGGCTCTGGTGCTCAGTTCTCATCTCATTGGCGCGAGCTGATGAGTTGAATTTACTTCTCCAGAACAACCGGAGGCACCGCTCAGCCATTCAGGCCAGTGGCGCGCCATGTTCACAGGGCCCTCGTCTCATAATTGTGTTTCATAAATCCCTTATCTTGAGCTCTGTTGGTGAGGCTCTCTCCTTGCGCTGCCTCAGCCATGCCTTTGCCCAGCCCCCATGTCCGTCAGACACTGCAAGGCAGACACCTGTCAATAACGCATCCGAAACGAGAGGCTCTCCCTCTGTCTCTCGCCAGGTTAATTGAAGAGTGTGGCATTAGGACACAACAAGAACAGAGCAAAGCCGGCCACCGCCACAAAGCTATGTTTTAAAAAAGAACTATAAATGAATCACAGTAACACAAAGGCCATAGTGTCATCCACAGTAGAAGCATACAAAGCTCCAGGTAGAGGATCTCATAGCTCGGCTCAGAGCAAAGTTCCACACATTCTCATTCACAATTACTGATTTTTAAACCTACAGAAAATCCGCTGCTAAGGAGTCTCAGGTAGTGCAGCATTGCAGGGAAGGTTATTAATGACAGGGGGATTTTTGCGTAAGCTAGGAGATCACTTGCCCATGGTGTCACGCAAGCACCCTTGCACTGAGACTGACCCTAGTGGCCCAGCAGTGTTGCATCTGCCCATGCCAAGACCAGGCGCGGATGCAGACGTGCAAGGATGCAGGGGCAGGGATGTGTGGCACGTGGCTATGCCACAGGGACCGCAGGTTGCCGCAGGGTGTGCTGGTCCCGGGCCCAGCCCTGATGGTGGGATCAGGAGCTCCCCTGCCTCTATCATAGGATGCAAAGCACAACTGACAGGAAAATGTGAAGAACTTGTTTTGTATTATGGTGCTTTTCCCAAATAAATTGGCTCTGATGCATTTCTCCAGCCAAATCATTTATTCCACAAACTGCATTATCTGCAGAAGAGGTAACACAATACCACAGTATCAGGCAATATAATGTGATACCA